CTATTAAGCGGCCACTCTCGGGGACGAGACAACTGGCCGCTTAATAGAGGTGGCCGTTTAATAGAGGTTCACCCGAAAACAACGTTGGGCGTGGTCCAGCTTTCAGTTTATCAAATAAAAGTACAAACAAATGCAAGTGGAGAAAAAGTAGAACAATGATGGTTATAATACGGTCCATAACATTAACAAAAGCCAAAGAAACAATGATGTGCATGGACGCGACGTGTCTGTCAACCCAACACTGGCTCGTCTGCTATACAAACAAACTGTTGTGATTGTTTTAATTAAATAGTGCTGAAAATGTGTTTTAACAGTATTCCACATTGTCATTCTTTTACCTTCATCTGGCTGAAAACGGCCAACTTCAAATCTTCCTGGCCGTTTAAAAGAGGTATAAAATAAAACAAAAGCACCCTTGGGAAGGCAAGAAGCTGGCCGCCGCTGCCCGTTGAATAGAAGTTTTAATTACATTGCATAGCTGAAAATTTTTCCGCGACTTTGCCCGCTGGCCGCCAAATAAAGGATGGTCGCTTAATAGGGGGGCAGTTAATAGAGGTTCGACTGTATAAGGGTTGGCAGTTTTGCAAGTAAACATGTTTACTCGCCATACTCAGCCATAACCTTACTCACGGAGGGATATCGTTTATGCCTGCTAACGCGATCGTTTTTATTTCCAGGTCAATTTTAACCACAGAAGATTTTCTCTTCCGCATTCCTACTTTCCGTCTAGGAGCCCGGGAGCAAATCAGCCCAGACAACCGGTTCCCAGTCCATTCCATTTCAACACGCCCTCTTCCTATACGGAGGCAAAGCGAAAGACCAAAGATCCACCTTCACTGCCCCCCTACGGGCTATGTTGCCAATTAACAGCGATAAAGGCTCAAGACGAGAAAGACGAACTAATGTTACGTGCTAATGAAGACCGATCACGTGATCATGCTCAGTACAATGCACCAGATACTAGGCATGCGCAAACCTGGAGGAATGTTTATTGCTCACCGTCCGCCGACAAACGGCTTCCTAGTCAACGGCATTCAATTGCTACAACGGGAGGCAAAGAACTACTCAAGAGTATAAACAATACTTTGGGTCGGCTTGTGGAAATACAAGATAAGGCGGAGCTCTCCAAGACCCCTGAAAGTTTGTTGTTGAGATCTCGCTTGCCACCTGCGACACTAAATTCCCCTCTGAAACATGACGCGTCGATGGAAGGCGTCAAATTATCTTTGATACAGGAACACGGAGAACGTGTCAAGGAAAGGCACAACTCTGCTCTGAAGATAAGTTGTAGCGTGAAGGACACTCATTCGCCTAAGCCTCCATCTCGATCATCTTCAACTGGAGTTTTAAACCTTGAATCGAGCTCCACAAAAGAGCAAGCTAATAGAGAGAAGCAAACCAAAGGAGGGAAAGTAGAAAAAGGAGCTAGAAGGCGAAGGCGAAGGACATTAGAAATCAAGATCCCGCCAGAAACAAACGACAGCATTTCACCGTCAAAGCACGAGGAGAGCACGTGTTCAAAACGTGGACATTCACGTGACAATAGGAATGACCCTGTGCACGATAGGAATGATGCGCACAGTGGGCGTGGATCACGTGATTCCTTAGAAGAGGTCATTTGAAAAGTCGACTTGTTCAAGACTTGAAACACGTGACTATCCAATAGTAATATGCGACCATAGATAATGTTTATCTTCATTCATATTGCTTGGCTTCCCGAGATATCCTGTAACTATAAGATAAACACATGGAGTGTCTGAGGCTTGTCTTACTGTTGTTGTCAGGTTAGACACACGCACTTTACCAGTCCGTCAAGACTCCGTTATGTATTGCGTAATTAAAACGTAACACATGCTTTTGTGAGTTTCGAAGCTGAGCGCGAGGCGAGCGCGCGAGACCAATGCAAGTTACACGCAGTGGGGAGACATAACTCACCGCCCGCGTTTTCCATTCCTTTAACATAGCAGGATAAGATGTCAGCAACAATATTTTATCACACAGAGACAAGATTTTCTATATTTATAACGAGAGTAAGAAAAGCCTCTAGTCAGTGTGCCGTTTTGTTAAATATGAATTAATAAATAAACAAATACGTATAATATTAAGAAATAATTAGAAATTTTATTACCTGAATATCAAGTAATTTCAATATGAGAACTATCAATAATTTAATTAATAATGTATCATAAAAAATGTATTTTTCTAACACATTCTTATCTTTAATTGTGTAGAAATCAAATTGTTAATTTGTTAGCCTTTTTGCACATTGCTGTCTTGTCTATTCCCAAGACTAATGCACATAGAATACAGGCAATTAAAAACCAGCAGGTGTTGAGTACATCAACAAACAAATTTTCTAAACGGAAAATCTTCGTGTTTATATCTGTTTTGATGACTACTCTCCTTCACAAGCTCGTTTCCTTTTATTTATCAAGAAGTTGCGGCAAATTCTTTGTGAAGAACAACGATGTCAAAACTTTGTGGGACATTTCTACGACACGTAGTGATACTGAAGAAGTCATTGTAGAATGAACGCACTTCACTCGATCGCGTGCGCTCAAGACGTATTCTGTGGTACAATCTTATAACTGAAAGGTCACTGTTTTGGAAATCCTCACCCTCTTTCATTGAGGGGTGCATTATTTGCAACCAGCACGAGAGAAAACAATGTTTATGTTTTCTGTTTCTGTCTGTTACTCTTTCTGTTGAC